GAACAGGTTTTCGACACTCTTTCACATACATCACTGATCGCTGTGCTTGGACATTTTTTACAAATATTGAGAAGATGGCTTTCCTTTCACCTCTATGAGTTAATAGTTTAAAAATATAGGGGCAAAATTTCTTTTTCAACATAAATGGAAGAATACAATTGCAAAATAGAATATAAATTATTAGTAATAATAATACCTAAGATAGAAATTAATACTGACTAGAAACGCTGATAATGTCACTGGCGTACGACACCCTTATAAACTGTTGCCTTGAACAATGGATCGGGAACTGAAGTTTTTTTAAACTCTTATTCAAACAGGCAACTATAATTACATAATCAATACCTCCTTCTGTATGTACTCAATAAAATACACGTACTCTACAAAATAAATACCAAAATAAATACCGGAACAATAACGTCTCGAAAATTATACACTAACAAGTGGCACCTGATCGAGGTCTAATAACAGAACGATGGCGTATTATCGGCGCCATCCGTGGGTTGCCTTAGGATGGTCCATGCGCCATCTATTTTGACTAGCCTGTATCCATCGATCGTGCCATTGATCAAAATTGTCCAAGCGTATAAATCCTGAATCGTAAGAACAAGACATCCGAGATTATTGATGCTGCTGCTCCAGTGGACATGAATGCGCAGAAAAAATAGTCCGAGAAAATAGGAAAATACCAAGATCAAGCCATCGGTTTGAAACAGGCAAATTAGCTGAAGAATATGGGTAAAACCAGTGGAAACCAAGGAAACTCTACAAAGATATTCTTAAAGTGATAAAAATACTTCTACTACACTGCCAGGTAACCACACTTGCATACACTGGCCGAATAGTGCGAAACATTTTAGTATATGAAAGTCGCAGCAGGCAGAAGTTAATTTGTTATGCTTAGCATTTGGCCGCTGGCAAAATTTTGTCTGTATGAAAGAATTCAATAGCATAATACAGTGAACAGCAACACTGAAGAGGGTCTCTGCATTAAGCGTTCTTAAATGTTCCCAGATCAAGTTTTGCGTAGGAGGTAAAAAAATCAGGACTTACAAGAGAGTGCATCATCCAAGTTTGTTGAAAGCTCAACTGTAGTGACCAATACGACTCAGTACTAGAAATCTACCTAATCTGGCCAGTCTTCGCAGAAAACAGAATTAGAACTTGCAAGACTGTCGGAAGTTGAGCATCTGAATCGATCAAGTGTCAATTCAACAACTGGCGTTCGTTTTCATAGTTCATGCCACCGACGACTACCTGCAGCTACTTATCGTCATCATTAAGATTTTACATGAACAACATTGAGAAAAGAGAAGTAATTTCTGCCAACTGAAGAATTTTGCCGCTGAGGTTCAGTGAGACATATCACCATATAGAAGAAAACAGATTCAATTGAAAGCAAAAGAACAGAGTTACTCAACGACAGTTCCATGCAGCACGGACGTCGATGGATGTTGACAAAACGACAACGACAAAGAAGCCAATCAGCAATGGAGACGCCAAACGATCTGAAAGGAGGAGGCAGGCTGCGCGATACCATAATAGCACGTCGGATAAGGCTCCACAGGAACGATACTGACAGCGGGCGCTTACAGACGTTAACTGGAAAATATCCTCACTCACAGGGAAAGAGCAGGAGTTAGTTGATGAGGCCATAAAGCACCAAATCCAGAGTCGGATTGTGCAAAGTATATGGAATTCTGAACCTCTGCGGCTGGAAGTTATTCTACTCAGGTGTCGATATCACGAGGAGCGCTCAGGCCGGTGGCGGTGTTCTGGTAGAACCCAACATCGATGGTAGAATCAATGAGAGGAAGCCTGTCAGCGAAGGGTGGCAGTAATCCGGAATGAAGCTAGAAAAGGCTAAAGTGTTAAAAATGCTACAGGTCTATGCGCCAAATTTAGAGAGAGAATATGATTCATTCCTTAAGGAAGTGCAGTGTGCTCTGTCCGAAGTGCCGATTAAAGAGTCCCTCAAACTGAAGGGCGATATTGATGCGCACGTCGGAGTAGACGCTGAAAAGTGGAAGGGGGTGATTGAAAAAAAAACGGCCCTAGCGACCTCAACAATAACGGCATGAAGTTGTTGCGGTTTTGTACAAACAACGGATTGACC